TAGGGGACTATATATATATATATATATATATATATATATATATATATTTAGATTAAATAAAAAAAATAGCCAAAAATTCACACTATTGTGCTTTGCAATATCTTACAAACAGGTTAACAGATGTAGCTGGCAATGCGAACTCTCACAAAAACCCACAAAATACATAACTGTTGTCAGAACCCCATATTTAAACAAGCTAATTATACTACTCCCCTAAAATACATAAAACACATAGGAGAAACTACTGTGGTATTCACACAAGCAGAGGTAATAACGTACAGATGCAAACAGAAACATTCACACACCCCTACCCACCTATAAAAGTACCCCCCCACACACCAACAGAGAACCCAAATACACACATCCCTCAAACGAGTTTCCAAACATAGCATTCAAATATAGCGCACACGCACACCCGACCGGGCGGTACCTGGCTGACTGTGGTCGTTGTGGAAATGCTTGGTTTCCTCCCAGGCTTTGCTCATGATAGGGCCCTTCAGGAGAATGTTGATCGAGTCAACCTGAGAATGAAAAAGACACAGTTAACACCGTCACCACACACATCCTGCGCTAACTGAAGACCCGCTAACGCCCTTGCTAACGTCAGGCCTGCTGCTTTCAGTCAGTCCACATGTAACCTGTCTGCAGTGGATAAAAGAGCTCATTATTGATATCTGGGAAATTGAGAGGAAGGTCAAAATCTGGTGACCTCCAGAAGACGATAGATTTTGAGGTCAAAGAGCAGAGGTGCAGAGGTCAAAGAGTGCTCACTAGAGATGATGGTAATGTGATAAACGACACAGTGGGAGTTAGAGAGGAAGAAGAGAGGGAAACTAAGAGGGGATGTATTAATGAAGAGCAAAAATGGAAGACAAAATAAGGAGGTGAGTGGAGTCAAACAAAGGGAATATCAAGTTTAAATTGGCAAAAGAGACTAAAAGTTTGATTTATGAGAGGAAATCAATATACCTGATTGAAAAGGTGTTCCAGACATCCATGAAGTTTATCCTGCTTGTCAAAAGGAATCTGCATATCACATGGCAACTCATCTCCTGAAAAATAAATAAATAAAAATAGCGATGTCTTGTTAGTTATTGTCCTGAATTTCTACATTGTAACCGCATCTAACAGACCACAGTTACCTGAGCCCATCTCATCACTGCCCAGGTAAGAACTGTTGCTCCGGACGCTGGTGTATGACAGCACTGAGTCTCGGTTACTGTTACATTCACTGTGAAAACACACAGATACAAATGTTTTCATGTGATGAAAAGGATGCCTACAGAGACCAATTCCAATTTTACCAATATTTCAAAGAAAAAAGATATTTAATCATGTACAAAAAAAATGTTTGAACCATTATCAAAGATTCATAGCCAATGAAACAGATGCGAAGTTCAGAAATTATTCAAAGCTGAAGAAAAATTAAAATTGTAAAGGAAAGCTTCACTGAAACAAACAACTTTCCAGGAACTCTGTATGGCTGTTTCATTCCTGTTAATTTTATGCTGAAATTGACTGCAATACAGTGGCAGGACAGTGGTTGAACACCTATTATTCATTTTGTTTGGGCTTTTCTTTTTAGAAAAATTGCAAAAAAGGCAAAAATGCAAGCTTCCACAAACGTTTCAACTGGTTAAATTCACATTAATTCTTATGATCACACGACTGCAAAATACCAACAGGGCTACTCTATGATTTTTTCTTCTGTTGGAAACAAAAGATATGTAGAAGACTTGCATTGCATGGACAAAGATGTTGAGGAATCTTTTTTTTCCTATAGAAGAAAAAAAAAAGTGATAAAGGTCTGTTAACTAGAGATTTGATTGAAATGGGCAGATTCCAAGGGTCCTCCTGGATATTCTTGTGCAAGACATATCGCCAGCGTGCAGTCCAGTCATCCGTGTGACGAAACTCTATTATAGTTAATAGACATTATATATTAAGGAATAAAAGTGGGGGTGAAAAAAAGATATAAAAATGTATAGATTTATATATAAATATATGTATGGGCTTTTCTTTTTAGAAAAATTGCAAAAAAGGCAAAAATGCAAGCTTCCACAAACGTTTCAACTGGTTAAATTCACATTAATTCTTATGATCACACGACTGCAAAATACCAACAGGGCTACTCTATGATTTTTTCTTCTGTTGGAAACAAAAGATATGTAGAAGACTTGCATTGCATGGACAAAGATGTTGAGGAATCTTTTTTTTCCTATAGAAGAAAAAAAAAGTGATAAAGGTTTGGAATGAATGACATAAAGGTGAGTAAATGATGACATCCCTTTAAGACAATTTTACACTGATCATAAGAGCTGAAGTCTTTTCGAAACAATTTAAACATCAACAAACGTCATCAACAATTTCAACTTTTATCCACTAAGATCAACAAGTTTAGGTGGACGTCTTATTGCCATCCTTAAAATGTTTATTCTGAGACAGAATTAAACTTTCGAAATGTCTTTTTTTGCTCCAAAAAGCTTGAGAGGGAAAAACAGACTGTACTTCAACCCACTAGTAGTAGAAAGAGTAGAAGAAGTTCCCTTTCCCCACCCCACAATGAGAGGGGAGGCCTAATTTAGTGCCGCCACAAGCCAAGAATGGAAGCAGATCATTCTCATGACCAGCAGGTTGCAACACTCCCAGAAGCTGAAAGAGGAAAAAAGGAGCATTCCCTCGTATTTTACCATTCAACCTCCTGAACCCTTGAAAGTTCATGTTCCCTAACAGCCAGCCCTCTTCTCACGATAACAAGAACAGACGGCCTACCTACATCCCACAGACAAATCCAGTTACTTACTGAAAGAGCCTAAATAGAGGAAAAAATGCATCTATCTATAAAACATGACGGCTGCAGCTGTTCATGAGCTCACCCCATCACAGAGTAGCAGGATTTTAAATTGGAACGCCACATAATGATAGAGGGTGCAAAAGCAGGCATCCGTTTATCCCAACAGAAGCATAAAATCCACTCGGCTGTGGTCAGCCCCAGCTTTGCCCTGCTCCGTCAGGTCTAGATCACAACCAAACATACTTTGCGCCATATAATGATGACATTGACAACACTGACTGAATGTATTCTTTAGCGGTTAAAGAGGGTGTCTGGGTTGCTGTGGCACAACAGATTCTTCGTAAGGGATGTTTATCGTCTCCTTACGTGTCTGTTTTAGCAACATCTGTTTCACAGGAGGAGCAGACAGGAGCCCAGAAGCCCCGTCTTGCTCACTCTCTCTGCTTCACACGTGCTGGAGGAAAACTGGGATTTTAAATCATCTTTTATACATGTAATTTCACAGAAAACAAAATGTTATTATGAAAGTCATAATGACAATTGGTGCTTGTATCAATATTGGCATTTTAAAAAACGTATTAGATTAAGAACAGTGTGTTAAAGGGATCAGTACATGTTGCAGGTTGGACTTGAACCTGTGTTACTCATTTAAGAACCCAGGCTCCAACATGTTTCATAAACATCATTTCACAATCTTTTCCTCACCTGTAGGAGTCTCTGTAGCTCATGGTGTCATGTCCAGAGTCCTCCTGATCATCTTCGTTGACTTTGAAGCACACTCTCTTGTTGCCGCCATGCTCTGTCTTGTCTTGGTCCGTCTCCTCCGGTATGGGAGAGGTTGAGGGGGCGCTCTCAAACGAGGGTGGCTCTGAGCCCTGCGGCGGGGTTGGTCCAGTTATCGATGACAGTAGTCTAAGATGAAACATATTTAGAGAGGTTTGGAAACAGATAGACATGAACTGTTACAATGAATTATGAGAGTGTTTTGACACTGAACGTGTGAGTTATGAGTTGATTTGCCCAATAATGATTAATGTTATTAATGTTGGAGCAGATCAACAGATAAAAAATATGATGAAAATAAGGGATCATTATCTGATGATTTCTTTTTAACGTAATTAAAATTTGGATCATATATTTTTTTTTTTTTTTCAACAAATTAACACTTATTCAGCAAGGATGCATTTAATTAATCAAAATAAAGAGTAAAAACCTTTACATTGTTATGAAAGAGTTCTACAGAACTTTAAAGAATCCTGAAAATTCAGCTTTTGATCTCACAGGAATAAATTACATTTTAAAAACATTTACATATTTATCTATATTATTGATTTACTCTATTGTTGATCAAATAAATGACGTTAATGGACAAATTAAACTAGTGAGAGTGTTAAACGTCATAAGAGAGCTTAGCCTATTTAAGGGTATTTTATAACAATAAGGACAAAACTGTCTCTAGTTGAAGAAACACCCTTTTATTTTACTAATGATCTTTGTTCTTTTATGGGACAGGGAAGTGTAGACTGACAGAAAGGCACTGGGAAAGAGACGGGGGAATGGGATTGGGAAATGAAATCCATTTCACTGACAATTAACTTCTACATCAGCACATGCTAGCCACTGAATAACAAACATTCGTTCCTCCTGAGAGGCTGTTGAAATGTCTTCTCTGCAGTCGTCTGTTATGGCTTCAGTCTTACATTTTTTTCTGTCTAAGCCATAAATATTTTTAGACTGTCATAAAAGAACATCCTGAAGTTTTGAACTCGAAGAACTCAAAGAGGAGGCTACTAAAACCTACTCTGAGCTATCAGATGAGAATTTGAGAATGTTTTTGTAGATTATTAAATATTTGAGCTTAATGATTAGATTATATGTATATTAACTATAGATTTATTTATTTTTTTTTTTAATTTCAAGAGCTCATAACTTAATGTTAAATCTATTTTAAACATTACTTTGAACACTGTTAAATTACTTCACCACTTACACATCTATCTGGGCCACATATTGCTTCATCTCTCGCACTGATATGTCCAGGCGGTTATAGAGGCAGATGTAATTATCCTGGCTCTCCATGTCTTCCTGTTTGAGGAGGAAGCTGAGACCTCCCTCTTCATGCTTCCTGCCATTCTCTATGCTCTCTTCACCCTCCTCCGTCTCTTCATCTAAACTCAGGCAACTCCAGGAGGGGGCCGCCATGCTGGTCACACAATGCATGGCATGGGACATGGGATTCAAATTGGCTGCAGGAAGAAAATAAGTGACATTAATCAACATCACAAAAGAGTGTCACTTTTCTTGATTCATACAGCATCCTGGATTTTTTTTGTCACTGAGTCTGCAATCTGGGAATATAAGTAATGCCACCTTACAATTTGGCCTAAAGAAGGCATCTTAGAAGACATAATTATGGTACTCAAACTTTGCAACAGCCTTCATGCTGGGCGCATGCCTTAAAATGCTGTCTAGGGATGCAGCATACTAAGTTTGGCGTTTCTGTGACTCAATAAAACACAAGAATTGAATGACTGAAAAGCAGTGAGGCATACACTTGCATGTGGTAAAGCCATGGACCATGAGGCTGTAGGCTGCAGAGAAGTGTACCGGAGGAATTTTAAACATCTCTGACTGTGAGACAACTGCAGAGCAGATGTGTAGCAGAGACTGAAAAATAAAAAGCTCTCAGCTCTCGTGTTGCGGAGCATAACAAACAAAGCATTATGTGGTTAATTCCCCAGCTACACATGGTGGCTAGACAGAAAGTTGGGACGTAGCAATCTGCGCAGGTGAAGCCAAAAATTAAAGCCAGATGCTTTGCCTCTAAGTTCTAGGGATGCCCAGTTGTATTTTAAAACTTAGCTAAATGTTACTGGTCTTGAAATTTTTGGACAAGTGCAGAATGGCTTGGATTTGAAAGTCAATCAGCTAAATCCAGAAAATAATAATAATTTATAGATGTAAAGCAGTTTCATTAAAGTTGTATCATTACAGATATTGTTGCTAAAAATGTATTTTAAATAAAGAAAAATAAAATAATAAAAATAAAATAAAATGATATTAAAAATGGCTATAAATAAATTGTATAATTGTTTTGCTCCAAGAAGAATCTGGACAAATCTGAACAATTACTTCAACCAGGCCAGCAGAAACAGAAAGCTTTATTGTTGAGCTCTGGTGTGTTGAGTTTGCCAGTTTGTTGTTTTTGATAATAAAGCTAATATATCTTAAGGTTTATCTTCTTAAATAAAGCATCAGGCCTCATAAACAAAAAGTAAACAGTCATAATAAGAGAGAGATGTGGGCGTTAGGCCGCAGGGAGTGGATGACTATAGACCTATGGGACAGTGGGGATGACATCACTAAAAGCTACTTATTATGGTCTAATGGTGTCTTAATGGAGGTCTGATGGAGGTGCTTTAAAAGGTTCTGGATCGCTTTGGGAATAGCAGGCCATGATTTTTACAAGACCTGGGAGGTTTTCACCATAAAGCTTAATTACTTTTTTACAACCTTCGATAATTGTAACATGGAGATTTGGTTAACTGAGCCAATGAGCTGAATCGTAGTATTTAATCAAGTCATTTTACAGACTTAAACATTACATATTCTCTTTAATGTATTTTATTTAGCTTTTGTGAGAAACCGAAATATTAAAATGTATTATAAAAGAATATCTAATATTTAAATATAATATTTAAATTTGATATAATTAGCAGTCAACCGATTAATCGTGATTAATCGCATCCAAAATAAAAGTTTTTGTTTACATAATATGTGTGTGTACTGTGTATATTTATTATGTATATATAAATACACACACATTCAGTATATATTTTGAAAATATTTACATGTATTTGCATGTATATATTTATATTCATATAATTTATATTATATATAAATATATTTAATATATAAACATACAATTTTTCTTAAATATATACATGCAAGTGTGTATTTATATATACCTAATAAATATATATAATACACACACATATATTATGTAAACAAAAACTTTTATTTTGGATGCGACTAATCGCAATTAATCGCTCGACAGCACTAGAATAAATCCCTTCAGTTATAAATGGTAACATAACTATATGTACCTTGATCAGGATCAAGGCCAAAGAAGGAGTTCTTGCGTCCGAAGCGGATGCTGAAGGCTCGGCTTGATGAGGACGTGTTCTTCGGGCAGGACACCTGCATCAGGTTCAGATGACAGTTGGTGGGGACGAAGTCCATGCAGCCCAGAACATGAGGTTTAGTGCTCGCCTGCTTAAACGTGGGCCAGGCCTTCATCTGCAATTCCTCCACAAACTGATAGGAAAAGAATATTAAAGTACTATGAGACAGCATTTGCATAGTTTTTAATGCCTTTTATTCCATATTTAAATATCAATTAGATTAAAAAAAATGGTCATTCATGTCTCGAAACATTGTGATATTGTATAATCCATAGTGCACTAGGGAATACGATAAAGTAGTAACAGCAAGACAGATGTCACACCTGTTTGTAGCTGCAAATGCGTTTTTCTATGCTCTCCAGCTTGGTGTCACAGATGTTTCGAAACTCAAACTGTGGCATGGTCACCACCTTCTCATTCTGAGCCATTAGCTGTCGGCAGCTCTTCACAAACAGACTGTCGTCCTTCACAAAGGCCTCCAGTATCTGAGAGCATTTAAAATACACACAAGAACATGTGATAGGTTAGAGAAAACAACTTTCTTTGAATGTCCATCTTGAAATCTAATATACACAGTATACACACAAGCACAATTATGGGTCATCAAAAAACAAAATTCAGAAATGAAACATTTAGCGTTAAACCGTGGTCTGACCTTTGCAGCAAGGTTGAAGCAGCACTTGGGTTCCACCATCTTCTCCAGCACACAGTGTTTGATTCCTGCTGTGCTGACGTACTCGTACACAACCCCATGTTCCACATGAACATTATCCACATTCAGACTGACTGAAGGAACATCGCCAGAGATGGACAACTGTTCCAGCCTTCTTACAGAGCCTAGAAAATCCAAAGAACACACAAGTGTAAAGAATCAAACGGAAACACAAATAAATGTGTACAGGACATCGCATGACATTACAATGACATTAAAAAGGTTAATTTTTTTTTTTTATTTCATTGTGCAGTTTTACTTTTAATTTCAGTTAAGTTTTATTTTAAATTATTCATAAATAGTTGCATATATATAACCTCTTGCATCTTTTCGCATCTTTTGCTTTTAGTCAGGTTTGAGAGTTTAATCTGTTTGTAATTTATGTGAATTCACACAAGAGGTCAATGATGTCAATGATCCACCACTGGTCAAATGTCTTTGCACAAGTTCACCACACATGAACTTTGGTACTTAGCTGAGGACAAAATGTCTTCACACAAGCTTGCATTCACAAATGTGTATAACAATGGATCTAAAGTTCCCATGGCTTTTGTATTCATAATAGTTTCCGTTAACGACAATAACTTTTTGGGTACACCTGTCACACTGAGTCATTTGCCAAAAACACACACACACTACCTGTTCCATTAGTGCAGCCGTCCTCTGAATCTGAGCCATTCTCACACCCCCTAAAAGACATCTGCTCTTCCACATCCTCATACACACGGTACGCCCACTGACCACAGCTCTGCGGCAGAAGAAAAAAAGAATATCACAAAGGGAGGAAAGTGTCATAGTGTATAGTGTCAGAAGCAAGTAACCTCTGGGACCACCATATGTGGACCACATAGCCTATAAAAAAACACATAATGCAGTGTTAAACACAATGCAGTGTTGATTCTCACAGTGTCTTGCTGCTCCAGGACAGGCTGATGGCCACTAAAGTGCTCCAGGACTTCCTGGTAGCTGCTCTGGTTCATGTTGTTGCCGTTGACTTTAAGGACACACTGACCGGGCTGAAGACCCGCTGCTGCCGCTTCAGAGCCTGTATACACACAAAAATATGCCTATAATGTAAAATGACCATAACCAAACAAATGAAAGATATCAAACGGATGATTCTGAAGTTAGAAGGTTGTATATTTTACATGTAGGCAAATCCAAAGCAGTCTAGACCCTTTCTAACCCAAATCTGTTTGATGTGATGATAGCGTTGATTATGCATCATTTTATATTCGTACAAAACAACATAGCCATGCATATGCATGTTGTACTTCAATGCATTTGAAATGATTTGTGGGTTTTTGAATGATTTTACTGTTTATTTCTGGCCTTTTGACATCTGTACTCTTGAAAAATAATTTTGGCATCTATAGTATGGTTCCATGAAGAAACTTTAACATCCATAGAACCTTCCATTTCACAAAAGGTTCTTCATGGTGGAAAACGGTTCTTCAGACGTTCAAACTAAGAAAAATTGGTTCTTTTAAGAACAGTTTATTGAAAGGTTCTTTGGGGAATCAAAAATAAAAACAACTCCTGTTGGAACCTTTATTTTTAAGAGCGTATCTTTTTATATGTACTCCCAGGTACCTGTCCTAATATATCAGCTTAATCAAACAAGACAGATCATAAATTTATGTTCATAATGATAGCGTACAAAGAAAAAATTCACTTGAGTGCTAATAAAAGAACACGTTTGATGTAGAGATTTCCAATTTGAAATTTAAACAAGTTGCAGCAACAAAAAGATTTATGAGACAAGAACTTATGATTACTGTTTATTAACAGGATGATTTCACATATTCTTACCTCTGCTTTGAATAGACCACTTATTCTGGAATGTACACCCCCTGCATTCAGGGGCACTTGAAGTGATGAAAGCTCCCATAATGGCACATCATAAATCTCTACTTTTGTCTAAGTGCCGTGAAGATGAGCTAACGGCTTTGACTTCAAAAAGCTCCAAGAGTGCGCTTTTTAAATCCAGAAACATGTGCAGGGATCCTGAGTTTGGGTTCAAGTGCTGAAGAGCACCAGATGTTGATCACATGACCACAGCAGCCTGGTGTCATGAATTTGCTTTATTTGAAAGCTTTTTATAGCACATTAACATCTGTCTGGCAGGTTAGATGCAATGCATTCCCCGATTCAGAATAACGTGTGAATTTTTATGGAAAAAAAATCAGAATGGCTCTGGGTTTTGAGGCCATAATCACTTCACTCGCATATGAATGTGATATGATGTGCATGCTTGTTTTGATCATTACAAACAATGAGGACTCACCTTTCTTAACTGCATGAACGTAAGGTGGACAAGAACCGCAGAGAACAAAAGGAAGAGTGCCATGAACATCTGGGATCTTCACAATCCTATCATATACACACACAAAGACATGAGATAAGCACATAAGCTAGGCTCTTTTGTCCCTTTTATTTAAGCAACATGACATGAGCAAGAGTGTTGCAGTACTGCATTTATTCTGTGTTACTTCTGTGCAGAATATCTTTTTTTCAAGAACATCATTGTGTCTACACTGAGGAACAAGAAGTGCCGGCATGCTTAAACATTAATGAACACTCTTTTGAAAACAACAGTGTTTTGCAGTGTGCTGCTCTCCTGCATGCAACTCTAATACCAGTAGTGTCCTTTTACACTGTACCCGGCTACATTTAACACGTCTGTGTGTCTGTGCATAAGTATCTGATTTCTGCAATGAACGTGGACTTACTCTTTGTTCTTGGTGGCCACCAGCAGTCTGAGCAAGCGGCGTATACAGAAGGACTGGTTGATCATGGTCTGCACATCAGAAAAAGGCCTTAGGAACACCAGGTCCTCATTAATGGAGTAGATCTTTCTACCCGGCTGCAGGCCTGCCATCTGCACCAAAGAAAAAACATGAAAACAAAGGAAATTAATACCAAGAATCCAGCTAACAAACAATCAAAAATGAAGAGAAAAATAAATTAGGGTGTCCATCATTACAATTTTCTTTGATGTGCGAGAGAGAAATGATTGATATTGATGAGGATTAAAGAGAGATGAGTGATGTTAATGAGGATTAAAAGATTGGCAGACAGAATTGAGAGAACCTCACACCTTTATGGCAAAAGAGCTTTATATTGCTTTAAAAAAAATGATAAGATATAATAAGCACTTTCAGATAACCAAGCAGTTAATTTGAAAGAGCAATTAAAAATGTGTGACTGTAAGAAAGAAAGGAAGTAGAAAGAAAAGAAAGGAGGAATGAACAAACTAATGAAATGCAGGAAGGAAGAAGGAAAAGAAGGGATGAAAGGAGGAAAAAACAAGGAAGAAAGGAATATACAAGAAAGGGAAGAGAACAAAAGAAGGGAAAAAAAGAAAGAAAAAAGGATGGAATGGCAGAAGGAATGAACTAATTAACGAAAGGCAGGATAGAAGAAAGAAAAAAGTGAGGAAAGGAAGAAAAGGAAGGAGTGCAATATAATGAAAGTTGTGAAGAAAAAGGAAAGAAGAAAAGGGGCAGTAAGAAAGAAAAGGGAGGGAGGAAGGAAGGAAAGAAGCAAGCAAGCAAGGAAGGGAAGAGGAAAAGAGGGTATGAAAGAAAAAAGGAAGGGGTGAGGAAAGAAAGAAAGTAGTGAGGGAGGAAAGATGGAAAGAATAAATGAACAAACTAATGGAAGGAAGGAAGGAAGAAAGAAAGAAAGAAAGAAAGAAAGAAAGCCTTGTAATCTATAAGAAACAGAAAAAAATGGGATAAAAAACAAGAAAGGAAAGTTGAGGAAAGAGAAGGGGAAAAAAGGTAAGTGTGAGGACTCTGTGGAGAATATGATGGGACATGCTTAATTGCTTCTCCCAGATCTCCAGAGAGCAGAACTGTGAAGACAGAGGGAGTGGAATTAATTAAGCAAGTGTGTCCTGGACCCGACACATGATCTGAGCGGCCCATGACGTAAGTGTCAGGACATGCAGCACTTCCTCTCATTCACTGGATTAATCACCATTACCATCACACTCTCATCTTCTGCAGATGCTCCTGTGAGCAGCAGTGTGACACTTGAATACGAACAAACTGTCCAGTGTTAGGTCTAACAGGCACAGTGGGGATAAAATTAGTGGTGGTTTAGATCTCAACCATAATTATCTACCAATCTTCCATAAATATCTGGCAGAGCTGTACAGAGCATGAACACAAATAACCCTGTGCACTGAAAATAATGTATTCGAGCTGAAGAGGTCCTCTTTCAAATGACAGATCAAGGTTAGTTTAGATACAAAAAGAGTCCTTGAGAGATCTAGTTATCAAGAAGAGTATAATACAATCCCACACTGGATAAAAATAAATGGACATCTATCAGATTGTATTACAGCAGAGCTTGGCACACTTTCCACTATATTTATATATGTAAAACCATGTGGACCATGAATAAGTCAGATAGATATGAACATTTCTGCACATGAAGAGCATAAAATTATGTTGCATGAAGATGTGACTCTCACAAAGCCATTCAAATAAAATATACATTATTCACTCCAAAATCTAAAGAAAATATAACAAATGATATTTTGCATAAAAAAATGTCTATTTTGATTTGTTTTTTGCACTGTGCTATTTTTTTCAGAGTAATTAAACATATTTAACTCCCCCTTGCAATTACCATTGAAGTTATATAAAATTTGTGGAGAATGACAATTACTTTGACTATTATTTGATTAAAATTTTATGCAATTGCATAACAATTTTATGAAATTGCAGTTCAAATATGAATATAACCTTCATGTTAACAAAAAAAGGTTCTAGATATAAAACCAAGTCTCATTTAGCAATTACATTTTACATAGTTTTTGAGCCTTTTTTAATCATACAGTATTACTAAGCATTACTTCAATGAACCAGTCCTAATGTGACTGATGATCAGACAGTGAAACTTGTGAAAACAGTTGTTTAGCTTTCCTTACTCTCTGAAGGCTACCAAGCTCACACATACGGATTGAATTTGGGTGGAAATGCCTTATAAGAAAGAAAACACCACTTACTAGGGAAACTCCCAAATGTGGCAGACTGTGGGACTCAAGTCAACCGTTGGCATGTATTTTGGGTTTGCTCTGTCACTGATATTTTTTTGTATAGGTCAGAGAAATGTGGAGAACTAGGATGCGGTTACCCAAACTCATACCTCTGCATATGAGCCCCTGGTCACACTCTTCACTACGATGGCCTTGTTCTTCTCTTCGATCTCAAACCCATAGTCCTCCTCTTCAGGGTGGATCTGTACATGGACAAGAGAAACACAATATCAGCACAAGAGCTGGTTGCATCTCAAAATAAATGCAGAACAGAATGGAAAAAACGTGTTACTTTCAGGACTCAATTTGTGATTTAGCAGCTCGGTGCCACACTGAGAGAGCAGCAGCATTTGTGCAAATGTGTGAACAAGCTATGCATCCTATAGTCCGAAAGCTGTTTGAGGTGTTAAGTCTTTTCTTCTAAAAATAACCAAACAACAATTTGTTCAAATGTGCCACAGCTGCATGCTAATAGGCCAGTGCAGGTGCTAAAGGTGCTATCATGGATGAAAGATATACTGGTTTTAGGTCATGTCTGGATCATAACAAGAACATAATGCTCAGTTTCTTCACAGCTACACACGAGATGGACTTTTATGTGCTTTTATTATCTAAGAGCTAAAGCAGAACATGTTTACCAGCCCTCTAAATGCCTTCCAATGTTTTATTTCTATCCATCAACCCGTATTGTCTCTGAAAATCTGCAGTGGCGTAAGGTCCTGACGTCTGAGAGGGCGTCTGAAAGCTCTTAGCATCTGAACAGAGAGGACAGAGTGCAAGATTTTCATGATCTGGAGGAGGAATCTGTCAGTCTATAAGGGATGAAAGAGTAGTTTGTAAAGGTCAGGGTAATTACTGATGGATGAGGAGGGTCTTAATTGTCAATCAATGCATGGCTGATGGTTGTGCTTGAGTGTGTGTAGTAGCATGAGTATGTGCATATAAATATAGGGGTGTGTTTTGTTAATGTGTTACTTTCAACATAAAATGATTGGGTTTTCTCTTTCCTTTTATGTTAGTATTGTTGATACTGGGGGCAGTTTGTCAAACAGAGAATGATCTAAATCTGATATCTCCTGTATCTTGTCAAGCTACACATAATTTAAAAGGTCAAACTTAATTTTACTATGAGAACAGGATCTCAACTAGCAATCAATTAGGATCACTATCATTTCTCAACAAAACAAAAAGATGACATAAAATACCACAATTGTACTCACGTGAATCAGTGAATAATTTTTTAACCATTTGATTTACATGAACAGTCTAAACAAACTGAATAAATCAAACTAATCAAAGCTACATTTGAGAGAAATGACAGGAAAGAAGCTTTGATCATTTCAATGCCCTAGGTCACTTGAGCTATAAAGCAACATATGAACAACTATGCTCGTGTTATTACAAAAGCTACAGCATTTCGAAATAAGTTCAGCTACTGTCACGCTACTGAAAAATGTGGTTAAGTTAGTAGCATTGCTAGTTATCCCTCAACACTGCTCTCCCCGGGGGAGAAACCCATGCTGTGTGCGTGTCTGTGTATCTCACCACTAAGGATTTGGCAAGGATGTTCTCGATGAGTTTGAAGTCACTGCGAAGCTGTTTACTCTTTGAGCTCGTACCCTCCGTCTCCTCATCGGCGTAGAAGCGGAAAAACTGTGACTCGTCCTTAAATTCGCTTTTCTCCAGAACTGCAAGGCAAAGTTTGAATTGAATTCAACTGAAATTGAATTAAAAAACTGTTTCACACTTTTATAAACAGGTCAGACAAAACACTCAGTGCTGATCATATCTGCTGATGACAAAATGATTTGACAGTGTGAAATGGGCCGATTGCATCACCCTTCAATTTCCGGCAAAACAACTCATGATGCCTGTGGGATTGATGTTTGGGCAAATCTGAGGCGAAGGATGAAGGCAGAGGATTTAATGGGAGGTCTGGCGTGTGTGAGTGTGCTGTTTTTCCCTCTCAGGAAGAGACGGTGACAGTGAGTGTGTGTGTGTGTGTGTTTTCAGGAACTTTGTAGAGACAGGCTGTTCTATCTGTAAATTCCAAGCAAAATATTGTTGTGGACTGTTTTGGAAGTTGAGATCCGACATGGCTGCAAAACACTTCTATAACAGGAGGCTTGTGTCTATGAGCATGTGTATCTCATCAGAAAATGTTCTTTTCCAATATTGTGACTATTTCTGTTCCATCAGAGGCCCCAGATGTTTTTGCAACAGCTGTTTACATCTAAAACACACTCATCTCTCTTCATTTTACTCTCTGTCTCTCATACTAACAAACTAGACCTCTGGCAGACACATTCAGAGTGTGATGTTAAAAAGCCATAACTGTAAAACACCACACTGTAAAACTGTGCTGCACTTAATGCACTGATCAATTAATTTAGAGAGAAAAAAGATAACACTGTTAAATAAGCATTATAAAACAAATAGTTCCAGCCCTTGATTATGATCGGTTGACTCGCCTTCGAAAATGTAAAGTACTATACAAACAAACTTTTGATTTTGTTACATCAGTACTACTGCACCACTGCATCTATGTGTTGCTTAGCTGTTCAAAATCACTGTAAACCATAGCTTCTTGGGGCTTATTGCTTTTTAAAAACACTACACAACTGCAAGATTAATTATTGTCGCATTATACAAGGCTGCTCTAGTGCAGGCACAAGTCAAAACGCTTTCACTCTTTCTCAAACACAAACACGCTTCAAAGCTTTGCTCTGGACACCACATGTGTTGTAATGGCAAACAGAAAAGGCCACGAAATGGCAAAATCTGAAGTTTATTTAAAGACGACACGTGTAACATCTTCAATTTACTTTTTGCAATTCCATCTGATGTCACTAGAGCACAGAAACTATACATTTGAACTTTAAAATCGCAATGAAATGCAAGTAGCGACATCTTTTATATCCTGAGTGAAATGGATAAACGAAAAGAAAAATTTAGAGCAGGGACTTGGTTCAATCCAACAGTTATTGATTGGATGGAGACAGAGCTCGCAATAGATTATAAGAAAGGTTCAGGGTTTAAGTGAACTAAATGACTGGAGAAAATGACACATGTCACCAGAGAAAAGTCTATTGTCTCAGAAAGATTGCGTTATGACATTTAGCTGAAAAATTATAAGGTTAAAAAATTTAAAATAATTTAACATGCATGAATGTAATAATCAATAAAATATATGATGAATTTCAGTCAAATTTCATTTCATGCTGACTTCAACCACCAGAAGTAGAGTAATTCATAAATCCTCACGTTTTGAATGGAGAAATAATTTTTCAATATAAAATTTGGGTAACAAAGTATTTTATGAAACTCTTTAAAACTCATTTTAAGTGTCCAGACTAGGGCTGAACGATTAATTGCATTTGCGATAATATCGCGATATGAGAAAACGCGATTTTTCAATTGCTTAAAAAATAATTGTTTTAAATATTTTTAAATCGCTCAAATGTTCATAAAAGCAGCTATTATATAATATCCACTTCTGATGTCGCCAATAATTAGAAATGCACTGAAATTCCGGCTGCCGAAAATTAGTTCACCGCTCAGGATTCACTTTCACGTGGTGTGACGCT